TATATTAAACTTTTAGAAAATTTTATCCCTCATTTATATTTTGTGAAAGCTTTTGCCTTTCTCTTGGCTTTTCTATCATTGTTCTTTTCTTGATGCCGCGGTTCTCTTGTTGAATGTTTTTCAGCTGACAGTTTAAGATATTACTGTCACCCTTTAAAGACGAAAAACATAAATAAAATATGTAAATTTTTGGTGTTAGGACAAGTGACAGTTGGTAGAAAATTTTTGTTTTCATTAACCCATTTCCTATCTATCCAAAAACAAATCTTACCAAAATAAACCCCAAAAATGAATCCTCCCCAACCTATTTTTATCTGCGATTTTACTCGCTTGATCAAAGAGCATAGCGAGTTCAAATCAGAACTCGCAAATCTTCGTAATGTAGCCAGCTGGCAATATTACGACATGGAAATTTTGCGAAAACGAGTTCGAGATTTAGAGGTATTCATCAACTTGTTTTAAACATTATCTTTCAATTTAGATGAAGTATGGATCGGGCCGTTCGAATACATGGAGTATTCCACAACGTGAATTTTTACAAGCGCGACGATCCCGTCGAGCTGAGGTAATATTTAGCTTTAGTTCACATTTTTAAAAATTTTTAAGGTACCCGGAAATCGCGAAGATGACGAGGCTAACGGGCGTCTTTTACGTGCCCGAAATCAATCGTCAGACCATCAGGGTACACATCCTGCTGGGATCGGTAATAAACTTTAATATATTTAAACAACCTTTTTTCTTTACAGTTTACGCTTTTGGAGATTCGGCACCCGAAGTTGTGCCACCACTTCAGCCTGTTCAGACACAGGATCTTCCACCAAGGAACGCAAATTTGGTTGAGATGCAACCACTTCGTGTACCTTTAGAAGAAGAAGTGGTCCAACCGGTTCCGGAATTAAATGGTGGGCATGTGCCCATTTTTCATCAGGATGGTATAATTTTTACTAAAATAAAAATTTTAAATATAAATCACAGGTAGCTTCCAAATGATTCGGGCATACTCCGCCCCAGAGTGTATTGGTTGCCTGGTTGCGCGACCTCAAATTGTCTACAATTGTGGACACTTAGTCTTCTGTTTGGAATGTAAACGTCGAGCTGGGGAAGAATGGAATAACCGCTGCCCTATCTGTAAAAAGATAGGGCCAACATTTGAAGCGGTTCATATTGTCCGGGGACGACGAATGGACTGATTGGGAGGACAATATTAAAGAAATTAATTTTTCAAAATTCCTTCAGTAAATGGCTAAGATTTTGAAATTTTTTAACCAATATTAACCACTGGACCATTTTTAACCACGTAACCAATTTTAATTTTAATCACCACATTTTAACCCTTACATTAATAATAATTAATAATAACCTTATAAAAATTTTCAAAAAACTGCTTTTATACTAGACCCACATACCTAACACTTAATTTAAGTATTTATTAATTAACAAGTATTTATCTAATTTATTTAATCGTGAATAAACATAAAATTCAAAATATATTTTTTATTTAATTTCTTTAATTCAACTCTATCTCCTCAAAAGTGCCAGATGGTGGTGGTGGTGGTGGTGCCTTCTTTGGGCGGCAGATACGCTCAGCGTTTATAAAAGGGACAGATATTTTTTTGGACATTTCTAAAAAAATCATTTTTTTATAAAATTAAAAATTTAAGTACCAGTAGATATAGTTTGCCTTTTTTTAATAATAAACAGCATTATCAAAATAAAAAGAAGGCAAATAGCCATAAACACCTTAAGATATAATATTTTTTTAATTATTTTAATTAAAGCCCGGAATTTTGTACAATCCCGTTTCCGTACCTACAACAAAATACAAAAAAACCCGATAAATACCGAAAAATACTGTCCCATTCCCTATTTTAAGACTAAAAAATATTTAAAAATTTAAGTTACCTGTGTGATGAAAATGGCCATTGTTGACCAAACAATTGAATTCTCACAAACCTTTGTAGGGTTTGTGAGATATTCATTTAAATTCAAACTAATTTTTTCATCAACACATATAATAGGGTATTTAAGCCCCTTTGGGCGAAGGCACACTTGATTGTTTTGACAAGTGCAATTATATATAATTATCCAGATAATAGGGTTGAACATTTTAATAAATTTAAAAATAATTTTTTAATCTTAAATTAAAATTTTAAACTTAAAATTAAAAATTTTAAACCTAAAATTCATAAAATAAATGTCCAACAAAAGTTTAACCTATTATATCTTATGGTATATTAATTGGGTACAGGTCGTGGTTGTAAATTAGATACACTAGCTAATGCTTTTTCAATTGAAAATTTTTAGAGATGAACTTAAAATATATTTTAAAGAATGTTTAGATTTAAAGGGAATTTTTTAATTTTTCATCCAGATGTTTCAATCCAGAATTTTCCATCCAATTTTATTTACTTAACTTACACAAAAGAATAAATTAATCTAAAAAACTTATTATTACCCCTAATATAAACAACTAAAAAATTTTGATTAAAGTTTATTTTTAAATAAAATTAGAAGAAAATTTAAAAAAATTTTATAAATTAGAAAAATTTTTTAAAAATTTTTAATTTCCATTTTTCTCCTTCAAATTTTTCTCCTTTCTTATCTTCTCCTTCTCCTTCTTTTTCTTTCGACGACCAGCGCCAGTTCGCTAAAATATTAATATTAATAGAAAGCTGTAAATATAATGATTTGAAAGAGAAGCTGGGTCGAATGATACCAAGATCGGTTAAATTTGACGTTTCTGAAAAGCTTAATTTCCCTAAAAAATTGAGAGATTAAAACAAAACTATGTTTAAATATTTTGATTTTGGTGTCATTCGAGTCAGCTCCTCTTTTAAATCATTATATGTTTTACTATAAAAGAAATTTAAAAAATTTAGAAAGATTTAAATTTTTTAAAAACATACTGTATCCTTTTTCTCATTTTGATTACCACCACCGGGTTGTTGAGGACGTTCAGGTTGTTGTTGTTGCTCCAAATAATCATCTAAAAATTAAATATGAGATTACCAAGAAACACATGAAATTCTGGTATATTAAGGAAATATGTCCTAATAATAACTTTTGATCCTTTAAAAATTGACAAAGACACAAAATTAATTAACCCAATGAGGAAGACTTAAACCCATTCAAGTTAAAAACAACCCAATATAATTTAAAAGTATGGCATCCGAAAAATATAATTTTTTAATAAACCTTTCCTATTTATTATTATACTTAAAAATGACCCGTTAGTTAAAAATTATAATAACCTTCAATATTCAGCTCTCCATTTGGTAACGGAGCCACCAATGCTGCAGCAATGTCGGCTCCCAAATTCACTTAAATTTATTTAATTTTCAATAAATCAAAATTTTTTATATACTGACAATTATGCACTTCCAAAATATTTTTAGCATTTTTTGACCCATTCTGAATTTCGTCTCCCAAATTCACTCGATTATTTTCAGCTGACTCATTTGCAACTCTTAAAATTAAACTTTGGAAATTAAAAAATTTTTTAATACATTCCACGTCCAATCAATGTACTAGAAGCATCTTTTACGACCATAGTTTTAGTAGTGCCTGAAAAAATTTTTAATTTTTCAAAAAATTTTCAAATTTTTATATAGCCTTGTTTTCCCTCACTATTATCCACTTCCAAAATATTTTTAGCTTTTTTTGAAGTACTCTCCCCAGTAGGCATTTTAATATGATAAATATCATGACGATCTGGAGCTGGCGACAAAATTGGTTTTGCGGGGTTATAAACATCCTCTTCTTCTTCAAGTATTAGAATATCAGCTTGAAAAAGGTTTTAATTTCCAAAAATTTTTAAAAGTATTTTTAAAAAATTTCCAAAAAATTTTCATAAATCTTTTTCTTTTCCAAAAATTTTAAAATTACCATCAACTGGAGCAGGAGGTGTAGCTGGAGCAGGAGGTGTAGCTGGAACAGGAGGAGGTGTAGCTGGAACAGGAGGAGGTGTAGCTGGAGCAGGAGGTGTGACCGTATTTTCAGGAGGAGGAAGAAATTCAGGCGGTGTTCCGCCACATAATTTTATATACTTGATGATACCAAGCTGTGAAAATTAATTTCAATTTAAAAAAAGCTTATAGAAATTTTAAAAGAAAATTGTTATTTTTAGACTCAAAAAAAAAAACTACCTGATCCCCCAAAGCACAAATACCTAATGTACGGAGCTCATCCTTTCCTTAAATTATTCAAAATTAAAAAAATTAGAAAAAAATAACCCAAATCAGGTAGTAGATGTGGCTGTATTCTTTGCTTCACAAACGCAGAAGCATATTTTTTCCTAGTTTCTGTAGGTATATCACAACAAGTCTCAAAAAATTTTTGCCATTTTTCTTCGCATTTTAATTCCTTTTTTACAGAAGGTTTAGACGTTGAATTATATGGGATATTGAATACTCTACCTTTATTTTTAATTTTGAAAAAACAGTGTCCTGGTAAATCGAAAAATGAATCAAAGGGGACGAAACGGCTTCCATTGAAACGGGTACAATATACTATTACACCCTCTTTTGTTATCACGAAATCTAATTCTACTTCAGTACTCTTACACTCATGACATTTGCCTGTTATATCAAAGGGTATGAATCGAGGCGTCGAAAGCCTAGGACTAGAAACAATGATTCCGGTTAGGTTAATGTTAATTTCAACTTCGGGAAAAATTTTGGGATATTTCATTTTTGAATTATGAAATGTGAAATTTCATTCTTTATATACCCTTACTCCCTCTCATTAAGATTATACAAAAATATACTGTACAATTTTTAAAGGTATATGGTCCTATACCTTTAGAATCAAAAAGAGAATGGACCAAAAGCTAAGTGACTAAAAATAATGTGAATTTTGAGTCTGGGGTTTTGGCATTATGTTGCCGACTTGGGCGTTTGTTGCCGACTGGGGGGGTTCCATTACTACTGAGAGGCTCGGGGGTCTAAAAATAATTAATATTTGCCTTTGTCTATTTTGTTGTTGTATATTTATTTGATTACTATTTCCAAATAAATCGTCTTGTATAGCAGAATGGTAAGAACTATTTAATGATTGGGCTTCTTGTGGGGGCATAATTGAGGCAATAAGCATTTGGCTATTCCTTTTTGATTCTGGTAATGATGATATTGTTGCTGTTGTCTCTTTTAGAGGGTTTAATAATTTATTTGTTGTGCCACAAGTTGACAAATCTTTTTTTAATTTATTTAAATTAACTGTGATGGGACGTTTGGGCGTGAAAGAGATAAGGCGCCAACGTTTATAAAATACCCAAAAAATAACCTAGAGCTTGGAAATTTTGCTCAGATATCCACAATACTGTTATCTAACATCTCTAAAAATTTCAGAATTTTTGGATAAATATTTCAGAAGTTATGACCAAAAATATCAGAATTTTCTCAAATTTTTGACATTTCTGTCTAGTTTTTTGACCAGAATTTCTGAAATAATAAACCAAAAATTCTGGAATTTTTAGAGTTGTTAGATAACAGTATTAGATATATCTCTGCTAAATTTCATTACTATATCTTTTTATTTGATAAAATTATAGTCGCTCAACTTAATGCAACTTAAGTCTTCCCCGCAATCTAAGAGAACATTCTTGTAATCCTCCAAAAAAATAAATTTTAAATTTTTACACACCTCTAGCTGAGCTAAGAATCTCTTCAGCTTCTTCGTGCAATTGATCAAGAATGTCTCTTTTGTTTTGAACAAATTGTTCAAGTACAGATTTATCTGGAAGTATTAGAGGTATTGATGTTTTGTTAGATTTGATTAAAGGCTCTTTTTGTTCTTGTTTTTGTGAACGGTGTGGGGGGACTGGAGGGACAATTGGTTGTTGAGGTTGTTGCTGAAATACCAAAATAGTTTTAAGATCTAAGCAAGAAAAATTTACATTTAATGGATTTTTCACTGTTGAAACAGGAGCGGTAATGGAATAAATTCCAGTAGATTTCCCTAAATTTCCAACAGTCTCAGCAACAATAAGCTGGCGATTATTATTTACTGACGGAAGAACCTGAATTGAGGAAAATAAAAAAATTTATTGAAAAAAAATAATAAAAAGAATTAGTTAAAAATAATGAGTATATTTAATGGAATGAACGAAGATAAAATATAAAAAAGTTGCAAAAATAGGGGGTTGCTGGTTTGGGATCGAACAGAAGAGAAGAACCCAGGATTCTTGGGTTTTGTATATCCAAAGATTTTTAGGAAGCGATAATTTTTGATGAATTTTTGATTATTTTGATTTGAGTAATCGGCGCTTTTTATCGAATTAGAATCATTACAGACTTATGTAACTAAAAAATACTTTCTCTCTCTTTCTTTTTTTAACTTTCAACAGTAAAAACTACCCACAAACAAAACAATTATTTATTAACTATTTTTTCTTGCAATTTTTGCGCAGGCGATTTTGCGTGACCTATTGTTGTGTTTATATTTGTTTATTGGTTAGTTGATTGTGTGCTTTGTTTAAAGTAAACTTGCTTTTATTCATTTAATGGAATATATTTTTAGATAAATAAAGGAGGATTTTTTTTGAAGAAATTTTTGAATTTAAATGAGAGAGAAAAATTTATTTTTAAAAATATATTTGGGAATACTATGAATAAATTAGGATTATAAAGAATGAAGAAAATGAAGATAAAAATAAATTGGGGGGAAATTGGAGGGAAGCATATGACCTTGAGGCTTTCTTATGTAAATTTTTTTTATTAACATAAATTCTAAGATAAAAGGAGGCTTTTGAGGAGGTTTTGACATTAAAACTAAAGTAAAAATTTGAGGAAAAAATAAATTGGGGAATTGTAAGGGGATTAGTTTGCACTAGAAACCGGACCGAGACGAGATTTCGATGGAAAATCTCGGTTATCGAGATTGAGAATTTTTCGAGATTTCAATTCTCGTACGACACTCCCAGTCCAGTCTCTATTTGGCACCAAACTTTTTTCCTAGATCCAACTTTCAGATTTTCTATTTTCTAATTCCACACGTGAGGGAATTTTCCAAGTATAGGCAAAAATGAATGAAATTAGACGAAATTAATAATTTTCAGAAATTTTCAGAATTTTTTTACAATTTCCACTAGAGGTGTGAAAAATAATAAAATTAAAAATAAGTAAAAATAAAAGAGCCAACTTAAGTTAAGCAAAAATAAAAAAAATATTTTTCCTTCCCCCCTAAAGTATCTAAATACTTATAATAAATAAATATATTTTTTCCCTCCTCAACATTCTTCTCAATTTTTTTATTTTCTCGCGAACCCATTTGTTGTTTTTAAAAAGTATATTTTTTGTTGCATTTAAAAAGCTTTGTAATTTTTGCTGTTTTTCTCCTTCTCCTTTCTCAAAAAATTTCCCGTCTTTATTTTTTTGTTTGCAAAAAACACACCCCCTTAAATCTCTTTAAAGTTCCTTTTAATATTCCTCCCTTCCTCTCATCTGTTTTATATCCAATTGGCTTTTCTTTCCTTTAATTTTGCAGCAGAAGGAAAAGCAAAAAGAAGATGAAAAGAAAGAAAAAGTAACAAAAAATAAGAAAAAAATAAGAAAAAAAATAAAATAATTTAATAAATAACCACAATTAAATAAAGTTTCTCTTTAAAATTTGCCGAAGAAGGAAAGAAATTTAATCATTTAAAACAAATAAAAATTGGAGAAAATTTAATAATTGAATCGCCAGATTTATCAGTGCCGGGGAGAACCATTAAAGGCCCGTGGAGAAAATTTAATGGTTGGATTGTCAGGATTATCAGTGCCGAGGCTCTTGAGATGGAGAACCATTAAAGGTCCGCTCACCCTCACAGTCGAATTTTTCCTTGGTCTATTCTCGTCAATTTAACACGCACTTGTAAGTCGCCCTCACATTATGGATGGAATTTTTAATCTTAAACCAAATAAAAATTGGAGTAAATTTAATTGTTAGATTGCTAGGATTATCAGTGCCGGTGGAGAACCATTAAAGGACCGCTCACCCTCACACAGTCGGATTTTCTCCTATAATTATGGTCTACTCTCGCCTAATCTAACACCCACTTGTAAGTCATTCTCCCTTTAATATCAAATCCTTTTCTGTTCGTAACGTGGCACTAATAGGGATTCTAATTGTACTCACTAAACACTCCAATAGCCTCCTTCAGCTCTAGTCCATCAAGTCATAGATTCCCTTCGCGAAATATTAAAATTTCAAGTATTCAGCAAAATAAATTGGACATTTTTTCTTTATTTCTAAAGCTAGCTAAATATATTTATGGCCAAATAACTGACTCATCTTCTTCCTCCTTTCCTTCCTTCCCTCTCAATTTTCCCATTTATTCATTCTCAATTCCCTATTGACTGGTAAATCTTCTTCCCCCTTCCCCTTCCATTCAACTTGGAGGGCTGTCCCTCTTAAGTATTATTCTCATCTTATTGCCGATTCTATAACACAAAGCATAATTAGAAGAAAAAAAGAAGAAAAAAAAGAAAATAATGGAAGAATTGAAGAAGAATAAAAGTAAAAGAAGAAGAGTACATCTGCCACCTCCTTTATCCAATTTCCCTCCAAAATATTACAACAAACAAACAAATAAAAAAATTGAGGGACAAAATAAAAATAATTTTTTTTGACAAATAGAAAACCAAAAAGAAAAGTGTGAAAAAATCCAAGTACAAAATTAAAAATGAGAAGCGAACTGCAAAGCACTGCTTTTGATTAACTAGAATCCTTATAAGAAGGGAAAAAAGCAGGAAGGAATTTTCGGGAAATTTTGTTGACTTTCTTTAATGTTTAAAGAAAAATTTTGGAATTATTAAAAGGACATACTTAACACTCTAAAAATACAAAAGATTTCAAGATTATACCATAAAAGTTAATAATGGATAAGCTATATGAAGGGTCTAGTATACAAGGATTTAGCATGTATGAAGGATCACGCACTATGACCGTTCAACCCCTCAGCCAAAATTCAATCTTTCCAAATTTAATGTCATTCTAATTAGCTTATTGACCTACTCCTTCGAATGATCTGTTAATTAAGAGCTAGCTATTCAGAAATTCTTTTAGAATTTTGTATAAAAAAGTCTCGATTAAAATATAAAAGAGAGAGAGAAAAGTATGTATAAAAAAGTAAAAAAAAGAAAAATTTTTTCTTATTTTTACGTTTACTCCAAACTTAAAATAATCAGAAAAATTAGTATTCCAAAAAAAATTCTAAAAGTACTAAACCTATTTTAGTATCCCCCCTTATCTCCTTGCAAATGCATTCCCCCTTTCCTTCCCCCTATATCTCCTCCATCAGCAGCTTTCTCTCTTCTTTTTTCATTAAATAAAAATAGCCATCTGTATATAAGGGGGTATATGATGGATTAGTTTGGGAAATAATTGAAAGTATTGAAAGAAAAAAATAAATTACTAGGTAGGAGATGCCCACACACGAAGAATTTAATTATATATTAGTGGTTGGTATAAATAGATTAAATAAATTAATGATAGTAAAAAGAAAATGTTTTTCTGATTTATAAAAATGTTTTAATTAAAATAAATAGAAATCAGAATAAAAATAAAATCAGAAGAAAATAATTAAAATCAGAATTTTAATATTAAATCAGAATTTTAAATAAACATGTTGTCCCCACCTGTTTTACTGATGTTTTTAGAATAGTAGGAACTTCTGATTGTTTAATAATATTTTCAGAAAAGAGAATATCAGGAATGTTGTTGTTGTTATTCTGATTTTCTTGTGTTTGTTTTAATTGATTTATCCCAACATTCTTTGTTTTGTTTTTAGATGGGGGTTGTCGGAAATGTTTTTGGCTTACTTTGCGAAGATCAGAAGATAAAATAGTTACCTTAAAAAATGTTTTATAATCCCTAGACATTTTAAAAATTTAAACATTTGCGCCAAAAACCAGAATATTGTTTTGTTTGATGTGAGAATTATTAAACAATAATTCTGATTTTTAAATTAAATGTTTAGTTTTATTTCTGATTAGGTAAGATGTTCAATAATAATTCTGATTCATTTATTTGTTAGATGTTTATTTAAAATTCTGGTTTTGTTAGATGTTCAATTAAAATTCTGGTTTATGTTAGATGTTTAATGATAATTCTGATTTGTTTAGATGTTCGATATTATTTCTGGTTTTATTTAAATGCTTATTTTTTGTTATGTGATGTTGAATATTAATTCTGATTTCAATTTTGCTTGAACGCATAAATCAGAATAAAATAAAAACACCCACATTTGCCCTTTTCTGTTGCTCTTTCCAAACAACATTAAATTTAATAGTTGCTGCTACAATTTGCGCACTTCGACAACAAAGTTGCGCAAAAACTTTTTGAGGAGTACTTAAAAGAAAAATAAATAAAATTTAAAATTTTAGGTAAATTCACTTTTTTAATATAAGAGTTTTACGAACTCCCAACCGAAAACTTCTTTTATTAGCGAATTGTTTGTCTAAAGAAGCAAACGAACAAATATGTTGTTGTTTTGGTATTGCTGTTGATTTTATCATTTTAACCATTGTTGTTGTTGCTGGTGTACTTTAAAAATAAAAAAATATAAAGAATTAAAAAAATATTTATTTTATTGAACAATTTATTGGAAAATAATCCAGTAAAAATAATTATTCAAATCTTTTTGATTTCAGAACAAACAATTAATTTTTGTTTTGTTTAGATGTTTAGTAAAAATTCTGGTTTATTTAATTTGGGTGTTTACTAAAAAGATTCTGATTTGTTGAGATGTTCAATATAAATTCTGATTTGTTTAGATGTTTAATAGAAATTCTGATTTGTTTAGATGTTTGTTAAAAGTTCTGATTGTTTAGATGTTTATTAAAAGTTCTGATTGTTTAGATGTTTATTAAATGTTGTGGTTATTTTCATTTACCTATTTGTTTTGTCAATGTTTGTATCATTTGTTGTTGTTTTATTCAATGTATTATTAATGTTTTTATTAATTGCTGTTGTTGTTGTCCTTTTTCCAGTTGTTGGTGGAGCTGACATTGAATAAAACCGTAAAGAAGAAACACGGGCCAAAGGTCGAATTCTTCGTGTATGGGAAATGGATTCGCTTGCTGCTTTGCTAAAAAAAATTTATTTTGTTTTTTATTTCCTTTAAACTTTTACCGAATTAAATGTTTGTTTTGTGAAATAAATTGTTCTCTAGGAGTTCTTTCCCAAGACCCAGGGACTGGCTTTGGTTCTGTTAAAGAATTCTCGCTTATTTTTCTTCGAATAAATGATTGAGGTTTAAATTGAACTACAGCATTGAATTGGCTTTCATCTAAATTTTTTGTTGTTGAGGGTTTCTGAACAGATTTTTGTTCCTAAAAATAAATTTAAATAAAAAAAGGAAAAATTAAAATATTCACAATTTTATCTTTCCCTTTAACCATTAATTTCTCCTCTTTTTTCTCTTTTGTTGCAACCTCCTTTGAAGTATTAAAAACATTCTTTTGTTGATTTTTGTTGGAAATTTCTTCTTTTGAATTTTTTCGTTTTATAATGTTTGTTGTTGTTGTTCTGATTTCTTTATTTTCTTTTTCTTCTCCTTTTGTTGTTGTTTTCTTTGTTGTTGTTGTTGTTTTTGTTGAAATGTTTGGAGAAGAATTTATTGATGTTTGGATGTTTTGCTTTGTTTGTTGTTGTGGACTCGAACATTTCTTTTTAATACCAACAACGTCTTTTTTGTTTGTTTCAGAATCTTTATTTGTTGTTGTTGAGGAAGTTGCTGCTTTTGTTGTTGATGTTTTTGTTGTTATTGGTGTTTTTGTTGTTGTTGGTGTTTTTGTTGTCGATGTTGGTGTTTTTGTTGATGTTTTTGTTTTCCCTTCACTACCAGAATTTGCTTCTTTTACAATAGAAAGGCGACGATGTGCTATAGGGCCTGTTGTTTCTATTAAGCTTTGAGGGCGATCCTTACTAAAAAATTTTTTTTTAATTTTTAATAAAATAAATTTCCTTTTACCCTTCTCTTCCATTTAAAGATTCTTTTGTAACTTCAGTTGTCGATCTTCTACTTAAGGAGGGCATTCGCAAAAGTAGAGAAGAGGCTGAAACTGTGGATTGAGTAGGCGATATTTGTTGTTTTTGTTGTTTTGTAGTAGAAGAAGGTTCAATTAAAGCCTGGCTTTCGGCCATTGTTTGCCGAAATTTTGCAACAGTTGCATTCTTTAAAAAAATGATTTTTTGGGGTTAATTAACGTTTAGTTAAAAAAGTTTTTGGCCAACGCGCCCAAAAGCTTTCTGCGCCTAAACATCCCTTCAACAAAATTTTCTCCTCAATTATACCTTATCTAAGGCTCCAGGTTTGCTAACAAAGCACTTAAGTGCAGCAATTTCTTTTTCCAATTCCCTTTCATTATTTGAATGTTGTTGCTGTTGTTGTTGATGTAATTCATTACTAATTACTCGACGTGCACTTCTTGCCGCCATTAATCTCATTGTAGCATCAGAAGGTTCTACAATCATTGGATTATGGTGATGACCAGCGGCAAATGCACGTTCAGTTTCTCGAGCTTCTCTTTAAAATTAATTTTATTTAGGACAGAATTTTTAATAAAACAGAAAAGTCTTCCAGGGGGAGGTGGAGGAGGGAGGGAAGGAGATAAAATTAACCAAAAATTTTATTTTTTAAATCCATCGCTTATAAAAAATTTTCCCCAATAAATTCCTGTTGTTAGTTTAAGTAAATCTCTATCTTTTACCTGAACCTTTGAGCATCCGCCAATTTTTGTCTCCATGGCCTTTCTGATTTTGGAATAGGCCTAGGAGGAGCTGTTGTGGTTAAAATACCAGAATTTGGAGAAACAATTGGGGGAGAAGCAACAGTTGATGGAGAGCGGGATATTGACATTGATGAAGGAGAAACACATTTACTAAATAAAATGAAATAAAATAAAAAATTAAAAAAAAATAAGTAAGTAACTGAAACGGCTATTGGGGGAATATATAGAGTATAGGGGGAACAACAACACATTGTAGATTTATAAAAATATAAAACGAAGACTGAGATTAATGAAATTTTGTATAAAAATATCTGACAATGTTAGCTAACTCATCTAAAAATTTCAGAATTTTTGGTTCAGTAATTCTGAAATTATGGAAGAAAATGTTCAGCTTTTTGGAAGAAAAATTCGATTTAGCGTCAATTTTCACCATAATTTTTTAAATAATCAATCAAAAAATCTGAAATTTATAGAGGAGGTAAATAATACTTTAAAAAATATTTGTGCAAAATTTCACAGCTCTAGGTTAAGAAAATATAAAAATATGTAACCGCGCGCCCAAAAAAGTCTGCGCCCAAACGAACCAAAAATCTAACTACAACTAAAAATACTCCGAAAATAAAAAAGATTATAACAAAAACAACATAAAAATTGTGTCTTATTTTCTTCTGTTTATTTACAAAAAAAAACTTTGCAAATAAAAGAGAAAAGTTGGGGAAATGTTTTGTGTTTACAGACAAGAATTTTATGTAAAATGGATTTTTAAAGTTATTTTAAAAAAAATTCTTTCCCCTCTTAATTTAAAAGTAACAGAAAAAAATAGTTTTTGGAATATTTGAAGAAAATACAAAGAACAAATTTTTAAAAATAATTTTTTTTTGAAGTTTTTTAAAAAATATTATATACCGTTAATACTCTAATTGAAGCCTTAAGCTTATATTTTTCAATGGGTCTCTTAAGATGGGCTTATATTTGAGGTGGGCTTCTATTCATTGCTGGGTATGGCTCTGGGAGCTAGCCTCAGCTGAGCGGGAGCCTGAGCCAACAAATGCCCAATACCCAGCAGTGCTTCTATTAGTGTATTTACGGTAGATTTAATAATATGTACACATAAGACTGTCTCAAAGAACAGGAATAATTAAAATTTATAACCAAAGCTGTCTGATCACGAAAAAGGAGAAAATCACTTTTAAAGGAAGCGATTTTGATAATTTAGATAACCAAAGAGAAGAGAATAAAAATATTTTTCCCCTTTATAACTAAAATTTTTAAACATACGAAATAGGGGATAAATTTGTTGTTTCCGCAACAGAATTTCTTAATTGAGAAGAATTAACAAAAGGAGAAGATATTGAAGGGGTTGTAGTTGAAGAATAATTATTTCTTTCTTTAAAATTAACAAAATTTTAAAGAATTTCTTTCCAATTAACCTGTTTGTTGTCTTTTATTAACTGGACGTAAATTATAACGTATATCAACTAGCGCTGCCCTCGTTTGGCTTAAACCCGTTGTTCTGTAGGGAAAAGTTTTGCGTTGTGGTTCGTGTCGGGGAGACAATGCAACACTCCCCCCACTGCCGCCAGCTGAAAGGGAAGACCGTGCAGTTGTTTCATTTGAAGTATTTGAAGCTAGGGAAGAGCCAAAACGGGATGAACTATCAAAAGAATTTAATTAATTTTAAAAATAACATTTTGGCGCAAGCAACACTTAGGCGCGAGAGACTATAAGACCCTCAAAATAAAACCTATTTTCTTAAAATTTTGTAGTGATATCCCCTATAGTGGTGTCTAATTCTTCTTAAAATTTTAAAATTCTTGGTTAAGTATTTCAAAGTTATGGACAAAAAAGTGACAGAATATGTCGACATTTTTCAGAAAATTAAGAATATTTTTGAGCACAACTTTGGAAAAATTAACAAAAAATTCTGAAATTATAAGAATAGTTAGTTAACATTGTTGGGGATATCCAGGTAAAATTTCGTGGCTATGGGCACATATTTGGGAGTTTTATAAACTAGAGAAGGAACGAAACACCCGAAACTTGCGCCTCTCTTATACAGAAAATTTAAAAAAAACTTTTTAGTTCATTTACCGTTCCGGTGCCCTCAACAGCTTGGAAGGAAGAGTTCCATATCCACTTTGTGGAGAACAAACTCGACTGCTTCCAGCCCCCTTACTAGAAGTACTTGACGCTGAAGTAGGGCGTATTACGGAGGAAGTTGGGGGACTGACAGTTTCGAAAGCGCTAGCTAATCGGCTTGTTCTGTACCCGCCAACTCCACTAGGTCTAGCCCAACGGACAGAGTTCCAACTGGAAATATTACAAAATTTATTTTATAGAAAACCTCTATTATGTAGACACCCTCTCCCTAATACAGACAAAAAATTCGTCCATAAAATGGAGAGGTTTATGTGTCTACAAAATAGAGGCTAGGAACTATATTGAAAGTCCACAAAATAGAGGGCAATTATCTCCCTTTTTAAATATTCTAACCTAGTTCCAGTAGGTTCAACCGATGTACTTAAACGTGCTCTCGCTACGGAACTAGCCATCAAGGATTAAAAAAATAATTATTTTTAAAATTCAAACAGTTGTTTTGTTATTTTTAATAGTTGTCAATTTTTTTCTTTTTTAGGTTTTCCACCCAATTGGATCTAAATAAATTTTTAAAATTGATGATTCATAATTTTATAAACAAAATTATTAAATTAAAAAAAATGAACGGAGAGACAAAAATTTAATAGCGCCTTCATAGGAAAGTGAGATTAAACACGTTGCCTTTAGAGTTGAATTCTGATTTCCTCCTTCCCATGTTTGGACAAGTTCTAATTTCTAATTTATTTCTAATTTATTATCGTTAAAATCAGTGTATTTTTTATACTGTGAAGACGCCTAAATAAAAACGCCGTAAAACTTTTATTAACTACCCTGGGTAATTATTGCTTCGACCTTCCGCTGGGGGAGTAATTAATCGAGGGAGGGTAATTATACGAGGTTTAAAATTTGAACGTGTTTTAGGGCATTTGATGTGGGGTAATTATTGTTTCAATTATTGTTTTAATCTTTCGCTGGATGGGGTAATTAATAAAATTGGGGTAATTATTTGAGGGAGGGCAATTAATACAGGTTTTACGGTAAATTTAAAACTCGGATTGAGGACAGGGATAAGGCTGTAACGAAGACTAATAGTAAAAATTTTGTTGGATACAGGATAGCGAGTTGTGAATGAGCGAAAGATTTACGAGATTGTGGTTAATCCTTAATAAAATAACAACAAATTAAAAATCTACTAAATATTTTTAATGATCAATTTGGAGGAAGAAAAAAAAACATAAAAATAAAACAACTACTAAAAATAAATATACAAGCATTTTAGCTAGCAAATGTCGATTGGAGCATGAACGAACGGCTGCTGGTTTTAACGGGAAAAATGGATAGAAGTGGGGGAAATGAGGAAAAAGAATAAATGAAGGGAAGGATTAGATAATAATATTTTTAGAGGAATTTGAAAGGATTTGGAGGAGAGAGATTTTGAGTTATAAAAATACAGACAAATTCAGGTATAACTTGAAGGGGCTGAAGACAAGGTTCGAGTAGGGTTGCCGTTTTCGAGGTGGGCCGCATTTTTCCGAGCCATATTTTTGGACTTGTTTTTATCGAGGCGGGCCGGTTTATTTTCGGGCCGTATGAGCTTTTTAGGGACGAATATCTTAGGCCCGACTCGATATTTCGGTCCGTGTCGGTCCATTTTGGCAACCCTAATCAAGACGTTCGTTAAATCGAAGTTTCAGATAAAGATTTGGTTGGATAAAAATCAACAGGAGAAATCAAAGTTTACTTCAGAATGTCTGGACTTGAGATCTTGGTAAAGTAAAAATCCTCCCTTAAATCAAAATCCAGATTAACCAAGATAACCTAGACATACTCGACTTAATATTAAAAAATACACACAAAAAAAGAGAAAGAATTGGTCAAGAAATTCTCGCGTTTAGAAAAAAAATTTTTTTTTTAAAGCTTTTGTGTAATCCAAACAGATGTACTTAGAGTTGTGAATAATTGATCCGCTCAAAGATTTGTCTCTTTTTCATTTAAAAATATTTTTCTCTTGTTTTTATTTACTTTTTCCTCTACAAAAAATTTATAGCCATTTATTTTTGTCTAAAATCCCCCTTTAAATTATTTTAGGTTTCTGTCAAGCCTTTCCTCAAAAATAAGAGGAAAATCAGCGTAAATTGAAAGGAAAATCAGAAAAAAAATAAATTACTTTCTCCTTTATTTAAAGTGTAAACTACACTAGAAGAATCTCTCTCCTTTCTCATAAAATAATTTTTTTCTATTTTATAACAGAAAATTAATGTTGGTCAGTTTTTTCTATTTAAAAAAACTATAATTTATTTAATTGACAATTAATTAGTCAAACAAGAAAAAATTAAAAAAAAAACTTTTTTCTAAGCAAAAATCAATTTTAAAAAATGAGAGAAAATTAAAAATAAAATTAAGAAAAAATTTTGAATAAAAATTAAATTTGGATATAAAAAAGAAGAAAATAATCAGAAAAATAATTAGCATTTTTTCGACAAAGTAAAAGAAACAAAACTTGAATAAATTAACCAGAAATTTATTTTAATAAATTTTTAGCTCTATTAATATTTCAGAATTTTAGGGTAAATTAATTGAGAAAAATTCTGATAAAAAAATTCTGATTTTATTCTTTTGTATTTTTCTGATAATTTCTGGTTTAACCAAAAATTCTGAATTTAGAAAAAAAGAAAATAATCAGAATATCAGAATTAGCATTAAAAATAAATTTAAATAATTTTTAATAAAATTATTGAATAATTTTTTGCAAGGAGTTTATCGAAAATAAAAATAAAAATTCATTCACCCGTTCGTTCAATAAAAACAAATTAAATCAACACTTTCTCTCTCAATTTCCACACCTTTTAAAGCAAATTTAGCGGGTTTGTTAGTGTTAATTTGTATATATTTTTAATGTGCTTTGTTAATGCATTAAATCATTAAATAGTATTTTTACAGTTAAGAATTCAGTAATTATTTTAAAAATTAATTCAGAAAATTGTTGGGAATTTTTTGGGGGAGAGAATAACTAAAGGAAAAGGAATATGAATAGAAAATTAAATTACAGGATCAGAAATAAAAAAAAATCAGAAATAATAATCAGAAATAAAAATCAGAATAAAATCAGAAATAAAATCAGAATAAAAAATCAGAATTAAAATCAGAAATAGAAATCAGAATAAAAGAAATCAGAATAAAA